TATTCCATAAGGGGGAACATTTTATTTAACCCAAAAGGGCTTTAGGCAGGATGTATCATTCATCATATCAAACAAACATTAGCCTGCCTGATGGCTAACTTTTACGAGAATGAACTGGTATAAAAGTGCATGATGTAAGAATGACATCCTGTGGTCAGATTTGGGTGCTGTAGTCCGCGTAGCTCTGAGCCGCTGTTACCAGTTACGGATCAGCACCAGAAGACGAGTCACACACAGCAAGTTGATTAGTAGGCAAATACATTTTACTGTAATGTCCAGTTGTTAATAATTGAAAAAAGTAGCTTTTAGAATTATTTAGAGCCGACTATTTCTAATTCACCGTTAGCATCGTTAGCTCAACGTTAGCCTCTAGCCTGCTTCACCCGATATTAAAGTACAACACAAAGATGCCGTGGCGTTTTGTCGACCGGTGACAAATTACAAATCCCAGCTCAACGGAGATAGCCGGTGCAGACTTAGCAACCCCTCGAGCTCTCTCATTGTAAACAAAGACTGTGCCCCTCTTTAGCTTTTGTAGGGAGCAACCAGTCTGCCCAACTCCAAACTACTTACGCCAGGTCCAAAGTTTGCTTAAAGGCGCAATCTTTTTCAGTCCAGATTTTCTTTATAAATCATTAAATTTAAGTAAAAAGTCACTTATGCGGTTTTCAGACACAGTCTGCATAAGCAAGCTTTACCTTGGTAAATTATTATTTGATCACATAATTTAACTGAACAACAAATCAGCGCTCTAACATGAATCGCTCTGTAGCAGGTAAGTTTTTCACCGTAGTATTTTATGTGTTTTATAGACGTGTGTTCTGCTCCGGGTCTCTTTAGCTCGTCTCTTGTCTGGCAGATTTGGGTGAAGAGGGAGTGCTCCCCATGGGCACCATGCTGTGGGCGGGGATCCTTGTGGTGGTGTTTGTGCTCCTGCTGCTAGCTGTGGACGTCACATGCTACTTTGTCAACAAATGTGGCCTCATCATGTGCCTCTGTGGCAAATCGGGCACGGGGACGAAGGGACACAACCTGGAGGAGGGAAAAGCAGCTTTTGTGTGAGTCTCAGACACGTAGCCAGTCCACCATTAGCTTACTGGTTCCCTTTTAATCTTCACTGTTGTCTCAATCCTACAGTAAAGATGAGTCCAAAGAGCCGATAGTGGAAGTCAGAACAGAGGACGAGTGCACAGCCAATCACAATGCAGCAGGACCCATAGAACCCAATGAAACGACTCCTCTCACAAAGCCAGAGTGAGTAGAGCAGGAGAAACGGCCCTCGGCCTTTCAACGCTCAAGTGTCCTTAGCTGTTGTACATTGCACTCCACTTGAAGAATCAGTGTTATTTAACCTTTATGAAATCTGAACCTTGTTCGTCTTTAAGTTATCATTCTCGAGTGGAGTCCAAAAAATCCTGTTGCTTTTCTGTTTTTATTCCCCATCAGAGGAATTATTGTACTTTGTGTTTCTTCTTCAGCTTGGAAGATTTTCTGTCTCATTATATGAAGGTTGAAGCAATACCAGTCTAAGACTTTGTTCCTCCTTAGTGTGGTCAATTCACAAAGGCATTTACCAACCACAGCTAGCCCTGCCCCATAAGGAGTGTGTCTGAGGCTGACACTGGTACTGTTTAACCCTTGTAGGTGGTTCTTTGTGGTGCTGTAGTTTCCTGCTGGAAGGCTGGTGCCTTTCGTAGAACATTAGTTGGTGTACTCCATGTTGGTGTGTGTATGGGATGTATCCTTTAATGTTCACTCACAGCATGACGCCCTTTTTCTTTTCTTTTTCTCACTAGGCTTAACAGCTGCTCTTTTTAAGTTGCTTTGTCTCAGTTTGTTTGAGTTTCTGAAGCCAACTAATCCCTCTGCATGCTCTGGTCCGGGCCACCCTTCCTCTGTCACAGTCACCCCGGTGTCTAGTCTGTGTGTCTCTGTTCTCTCCCTGCTCTCTCAGGCTGGTGGCTTCTCTGGCACTGGACACCCCCTCCTCTGTAGCCACCAACTCTGACACAGCCACCGCAACAAACGACCCTGGCCAGGAGAGCCCCTCTAGCGAGACCACTACCCTCACATGCAGCCTGTCCACCCTGGCCAACGAACCCTCACCCACCCCTCTCGCTGCTCCGGCCCCGACCCCAGAGTCTAACGCGGCGCCGCCAGCACCGGTCATCTCCTCCACCGCTGTAGAAGCTAAAATGGCCCCCTTGCTTGAAGAAAGGGGTTATAAAACACAGGAGGAGCAGGAGAAGATAACCCCTCCTCGAACTCCCGAACAGCCTAGACCTCAAAAACCTGGAACGCCGATCCCACCAAAACGCAAACACTCTCCAAAACTAGCAGCTATGAATGCTAAAAACAGCCCCCCAGTTTCCCCCCTTGCTGTGTCTTCTACATCTTCCCCTTCTACTCCAGACATGAAGACACCTGCTCCAAATCCACCTGTCACTAGGCTACCTCCACAACCTAATCCTAACCCAGATTATAACCCTGCTCCTGATTCCTCCTCGCCTAGCTTTGCCGCCTTTGACACAGTCAAACCCACTGAGTCATCGGCTGACAACAACATACCCGCAACAAAACCCGTTAGAGGTGTTCCCTCAGATGATACCGGGGCTGCTGAAGATCCAGATGCTTCCTCGCTGTTACCGATCACTCAGATAGTTTCTGCAGTTTCCGACGAAGTCCCGACGCCAGCGCCAGACCTGTACGACATAACGCCTGCAGACACAGAGCTCAAAAACGCTAATTTAGAGTTGGAGCTGACAAACGGCACAGGAAGACACCCTCGACCCCTCTCAGATCTGATTAGCTTAGAGAGCCCGCCCGCAGACCCCTCCCAGCCCAGTGGAGACGGAACAGACCTCCCCCCCTCAGGCCCAGTTGTGGAGGCTTCAGAGACTCTGGTCAAGACCGCTCCTCCTGTCAACGATGAGTACGGCTCCCTCTAGAGGTTTATCTGTGTGTGTGTGTGTGAGTGTGTGTAATGTGTATGCCCATTCATTCACCACCGCATCTTGCCATTGACCACACGATATCAGCTACTGTAACAGTAAACTGTGGTAATGACATGAGGGGGAACTTTTAGGGGAACGCTCCAGATAGAGGCGATGTGATGGTTGTCATTTTTTTGCTCGTGTGCGACAGTTTTCCATTGTGGGTTCCATTTTCCAGAAACAGTCACATCCAACAAAGACGAGCACCTTTTCAGACATGGAGGTCATGTTTTAAAAGAGGTTTCAATAAACAACTAAAATATAGCTTTTATCTTTATTTGCTTCAGTAGATTATCTGGAAAACCGCTTCTGGTGTTTAACTCAAACCGCTTCAACACTGTAGCGCCGTTTCCAATACAGGAGTTCTGGGAAATTTCTGTTGTGCCTCTTTACAAAGTCGGCCCTTTCATGACTTTGCCAAAATGGCAATAAATCACAACTTGGCGCTGATCAGCACCAAAAGGTGTCCACGGACATTGTAAACATGAATTTAGTCCCTTCAGTGGACCGGGAGAGCACTTGTTGGACGTAGTAAGAAGTGTTCAGTGACCTGAAGAAAAGGCGTTTTTTAACGACGCTCTGTAGAGACCACGAAGCTCCGTAAATGGCGGTTTTATGGGAGGATTTCCGTGGCGTTTTTCGGTTTTGAGAGTTTAGAAACCGATTTTAAACAGTGTTACGTATTGTCTTTTCCTTTCATTCTGCTCGACCATTCGACATTTTCAGTTTTACAAATGCCGGTTGTAAGGTGACGATAAAGTTCCAATCAGCATGAGTTAACCACAAGCACCACCCAGCAACTCTACTGGCCCAGAAAATGGTCCTTTCGGTCCAGCCCGGTGAAATAGAGATACACGCATGCCGCGAAGGTCTGGTAAAGTTCTGATAGTGGCCTCACATCTATGTTCTCAAGCTGTAGTGATGATAGTCACAAACCATTAAGCTTCTGTAGATATTAGGGAAGGTAAGAGCGAGGTGCTTCAGAGGCTGAGAAATTAAAGTTTCTGTTTAGATAAATAAGTTTAAAAAAAAGGTCACAGAAATGACCTTGTAAATAATTAAACACATCTAACTTGTTGTTTTGGGGGGAATTAAAGAGATTTTAGAGCATTTGTGTACAAATAATTACCATATTCCTGAATGACCTCCGTTTAGAGAAATAAAGTTTAAATCTGGCAAGACTGATAAGCTAATGGCTAGTATTAGTGTAGCTAAGGTGGATCACTGCCAAATGTTATTCTACAAACTACCTTCCCTTTTCCACTGCACTGTTATACATTAATGCCAGTGTGTAGGTTTATGAAATATCTGCTTGAACTCCTCTGGTTTACAGTTTTCAACATGGCAGCCATCCACTTGGGGTGATAGGCTAAAATTAATTTGTCCTGCAAATGTTTCATAACAATGTAAATAACCAAGTAATGTAAATGGGCAGCAGTGTAAAGACTCTTCAATCTGACATGTAAATTAGTAGAGCTGCAATGATCCAGTCAGACTAGCCGTTAGCTTATCACTCATGTCAGACGTAAACGTTTCTTTAAACGGAGGCAGTCACGCACTTAGAGACTAACACCAAACAGTTTCCTGCTCCTCCTTCCTCCTGGTTTAAAGTGGAAAAACAACAGATGTTAGGCTGCAGCTATCAAATATTTTTGTAATTGAGTACTCTATCGAATCTTTTATCGATTAATCGAGTACTCTAATAAATTACCCCTTTGTGTTTGTAAACCATTATATCAAATAGCATGTTATAAAATATGAAAGACCTCTGAAAATGTGCAATTGCCAGTTATTCTTCAAGTTTTATTCAAAACACGTAGACACGTATAGTCAATAATTCAGCACTTTAGTGCATCTTAGTTAAAATCTAAATATTCTGCCTAAAACTGTCAGTGATGCACCGTCGTCAGGCAAAAACTCTGCACTGCATTCGAATTTAAATCTGCCATCGCTATTGGCTAAGAGGTACACTATGATGTTAGATGGTACATTATGATGTCACAATGTTGTGAGTTTGTGTATTTGTTAGCGGCTCCGCCCTCTCGGTCTGCTAGGCAACAGCATTTGTTGCATTTTTCAAACAGGAAGTGGGAGTTGAGTAAGAATCTGGTAGGGGGTGACTTGCTCTTTAAGTGCTGTTTCTGGTCTGCAGCTTGCTGTCCCATGTAGAATTAGTAAAGTTTCTACCAACACAATCACTGAACCTCACTTTTAAAGAAATTGGTTAAAAACTGCTGAGTGCCGTTTTATCGACATCACCCTGCAACAGACAGATGCAAAAATTATAAGCTGAATTACAGAAATTAATAGTTCCAATAATACCTAATAAGTGTATCTGAAGCAGATACATCTAAGCTGATGCTTGACTCTTATGAGCAAAAATCAAACCAAACAGAAGAACCTTGATTTCATGTTTTAAATGTCAGACATGTCACTGTGACTATTCTGATTAAAGCCATCAGAGGGCTCTTTTTGTGTGTTCTGTTATTAAAAGCCTCTCTGTGAAGCGGCTGCACCCCCCAGCCTCCTGAGGCAGAGCTGCATCGTGGCTCTTTGCTCGACAGTCAGGTCATGTCTGAGTGAACCTGTAACAGCAGCTAAATAGTAACGTGACACATTCTATGTCTGAAATGTGCTCGTATTGATTAGATGACTCTTTTCCCAGCTGGAAGCCGTAGACCTCATCCAGAAAGTAAACAGGCGGGGGCTTTCTTGCTCTCAGCTGCAGGCAGCTGCTGGAAACGCGTACAAGCTCCGTTCTGTTTTAGTACAGCCAAAGTGATTCAAATATAGTATCTGCTAAACATTTATGGGATGTGGGATATGTCATTATCTGTGTTTTTATTCGACTGTTGTCAAGGTGGTGAAGAAATATGTAAGAAGATGTCTGAACACGGTGTCGTCTTACATATTGGGTAAAGATGTGTTCAGCCAAGCCGTTTGTTTGCTGGGACGTCTCGCCGCGCCGCAGAACTCAACATTTCTAATGTGTCTCTTTTTTTTTTCCCCTCTGCAGAAAGATTTATGCTGATGAGAAAAGCAAACTGGAGGAGGGAGACTTACCACATCCTCTGATCTCTGCAGCACACAACAATGTCATTCAGACAAACGCCACAGAGAGCAAAGTATGATGGGCCGGGGCCACGCCACAGTGAAACTAATCAAGAGTTTTTATTTGTAGCGCTCCTAACAACACGGCAGTGTTGACTGGTTTAGAGTGCACCTCCACACCCAGGAATTTATTTGCAGCTCATGAAGAGATTTATTTAATTTTGTATTCCTTGTTTGATTTAACCAGTCAGGACGATTAATTAAGTGCAGTCTCTGCTTGGTAAATATATATAAATATATATATATGAATCTTCTATTGTGCGTAGTCTGAATTGCATTTGCGCACAACTGGATAATTATCAGAAATATAGATGTAAGGGGAAAAAAAGACTATATATGAAATTATTTTTCTTATTTTAATGTTGTACTGTGCACATTTGAAACTGTTTGCGTTCTTTTTTACGTTTGACTTTTGTGTGGGCTAGTCTCTTTCAATAGCTTGTTCTGCATGTCTGCCCTGCAAATGGTTGTAAAGTTTATAAAGGTTTATCGTTCCACTTTGTCTGTTTGGGGGATTTTTAATCTGTAAAAATAAAAAAATCTGGAAAAGAAAAGAAAAGAAAAGAAAAGAAAAGGCCCAAGTCCTGTTTTGGGAAGAGAAGAAACAAAAGATGCCACAGAAACCCCAAACGACACTGGATAAGAGCTGGATTATTTTAGGATTAAATATATTCTGTCACTGCCTTACATTAGTGCCGTTAAACCGAACTTTTGGTTGAAAAAGGAAGCTTCTTGAACACAAATGGTCACAGATGAGTAGATACTGAGCCACGGGTCAGGAACACGCTGTCTGAGGGACGGCGGCTGTTTGTCGCCTTCACATTTATGCAGATCCAAACACTCTGAAGTAAAAATCTAATAAAGGAAGCTTCTGAAAACATTTTCTGTACTATTTTAAACTGCACAGCTTTCTTTTCCATTCCTGCCTGCCAGCTTGTGCGCCGTACCCGTGTGTCAGTAGATCGTCTCGCCGTCAGCTCCTATGATAACCTGCATAGCTTTGTTGTGAGGGAGCCTATTTTTTATTTGATGTGTTATTAGAACCAAAAGTACCATAAATGGACTGATGTGGTCATTCTAACAGGTGTAACGTATAAAATGTCTGTCTCTGATCACAGCTCTGTAGTGAAGGAGGGCGTTGGAGCCTTGGTGTGAACTCATCATACGTGTTCCTAAAGGCATGTCGGTGCGCCCGTGTTTGGGGGGGGGGGGGGGGGTTATGTTGATTTAATGTGCCGAGATTGTTCTGGAATAATTACACACGTTTTATTTCTCTCCCCTGGTTGTTTTTCAAGTGTTCTGTAATGTAGATTTCAGTTTTTATTTTTTTGTTTTTTTGTCTTTTTGTATCACAACTCTCACGAGCAGCTGCCTGATGAGTCCAGGAGTGGCTGACAGGAAGTGGGGTGGTCCACCTCCGACAGGAGAACTAACTTTTGTTTTTTACGATTTAGATAACAGGTGTCATGTGAAAAGAACTGACTATAGGTACGAAGTGTAAAAACTAAAATGACCCAGACCCCCTGGCTCCCTCGTTGGTTGGTCCTTTTGTTTTTATTGGGTCAGACTCAGAACATCTGCTGTTACCGTCTGAGGAAAAACCCATTTACTAAATAAAATGGTTTTCAATCTAATTCTGTCGTGGCCTATTTTGTCATTACATTAATTTACTTTCTTCCCTCTGGTTACCACAGAGCCCTGAATCATGGGTTTGGGTCATGCAGTAATGTGTTCTGGACAGAAGAGGGCAGTAAATGCATATTTTGGGGATTTGTCTTGAAAGCTCAGGATTATTTACTTTATTTTACATCAGCAGATCAAGAAGGTTAAGGTTGAGATTTTTTTCCACATAGAGGTTTGTGCAGGAGTAAATAATACAACCACACTTTGGGCCAGTGGGGTCTTGATATTTTTAACTGAGGCCTTCTGGTGTGACATAACCCGTGTTGTGTCAACAGAGCGTCAACAAACACAGTGACCCAGCCTGACGTCCAGTTTCAGACTTGTCCTATTACCCAGTTGAATCATTTCCCCCTCTTGAAGAGCAGAACTGGTGTGAATACTCGAAATGTACCAGCTCTGATTCTCGTTTGAGGAAAACCAGGTGTTCCTCCCATAGTTTCCTCTCCGTAGACCTGTTCTGATGTCCTGTAGACGTCTCTGATTGCTGCTGTGGTGGACCGACAGCTCTCACTGCCCTGATGTCTCACTCTGATGATTCTGAGTCTGTCAAGTCAGCCAACGACAACCGTGGCTACACAGGAAGTTAGATGAGCCCACTTCAAAGTAGAATGCATTGTGTGTAACACACAAATAAACTTTTGCAGATAAAACATTTTGATTTTTCATCTTTCCCAGTGTCTTTTGGGATTATAATCCAGTTACACTCAGCCTCCAGCTGAGACTATATATTGGTATTCTCACATTTAACTTGGATGACCTCATCAGGTCTGGTGGCTTTAGAACAAACCCAAGCCATTACACCTCCACCACCATGCTCCAAAGCATATGGATGTGTATACAGCTGTATATGCATGCAGGTTTATTTTTTATAGAGTATTTTAAGAAAGTACTACTTGTTTGAGTGAAGACATGGCTGTGGGGGACAGACAAAGGACTGGATACGCCATCACTTGTTTTTGCCCTCTTTTCAAATGCTTTTTGTTTGATTTACAAATCACTTCCTTGGAAATTTTATGTTTTTTTCTGGTTTTTGATGTGTTGAAAATGAAATGAAGAAAAAATAAATAGGCCACTACAACTGTGTATCATGTCCAAACAAACCAACTTTACACCCTTTCATCACATAGTCAACCCTACAATTCTTTTTACATGGTCACGGAAGACTTTACATTCAAAGTGGTTGACCTCTGAATTTTGGTCATTTTCTGATAGGAGCATGTTGACTTCAAAGAACATGTTTTAAATATTTTCCACTGCATGGTGGACATTATTTCTCTCCGAAGGAAGTCGACAAAAAGGCTTTAACGCTCTTAAACAACGTATTTTCACCATTAATCTGGAAATATCCAACAAAATGTTGTTGAAAATGAATGAAATGATGCTCAGCTGTTGAAACATATTGGCAGCTTCGTAACATAGAACCATAAAAATTGAGTCTAAAATACATGGGAGTGGGTCTAAGTCTCTGGGCATCGCCATATTAAACGTCATGTTTCCTATACGGGAGCCCATTATGGTTACAACACTCTCCCCATTTATAAACGTTGTTTTACACATTTAGGCAAGGCAAGGCAGCTTTATTTACAAAGCACATGTCAAACACAGGGGCAATTCAATGTGCTTTACAATTAGCAATAAAGTAGATTTCCGGAGTTTTCTACTTTCAGAAATTTTGTACGACTTGTCAGAAATCCGTAAAAGTGATTATCTTATGTACTGTGATATAATATAAGCAATACGTCTTTTTATTTATTTTTGCTAAGCACGCCCCCTGCCCTGCAGAGCTCCGTGCAATAGGAAACTAAGCGCCAACCAGAACTAACCAATAGCGTTCGACTACCGCTTAGATGCTTCGACTTTGAGGAATACCTCGGCTGATGCAGAGTTGATGAACTTTTCACGGACAAGTAAGTCTCTAAAATATAAATTTATGAGAACACATGACATGAGAATAATACTCGTAAAACAACATGTTTTAGCTCCGTTTGTCGGCTACAGAAGCACATTTATAAACAAGAAACGTGAAGTCGCCATCTTAAACAGAGCAACAGACTTGTTGTGTGATATGCTTGTCAGCCACTAGATGGTGCCGTCGGATAAGAGAAATATTCTGGAAATAGACTAACTGGCAGGACAATAAACAGGAGAGCACAAAGTAAAAATATACACAGATAAAATTATAATTTAGAGCTACAGGGAAAAGACAGAATTAAGGTTGAGCAGTTACATCCCAGATTAAGGTGGAGACGATGCAGCATAAGAAACAATTCATTCAAAGGCTGATGAGTACATTAGGGTTTGAAGTTTTGATTTAAACACGAGTTGGAGCAGATCTGAGGTCCCGGGGAAGCTGATTCCATATGTGAGCAGCACTGTAGCTAAAAGCATCTTCACCGTGTTTGGTTGTGACCTGAGGTTCTGCCAGCTGATTGTTACCCAAGGATCTCAGAGCCCTATTGGGTGTAAATACAAGAATGAGATCGGTCATGTATTTTGGCTCCATGCCATTGAGTGATTTATAAACTAGTAGATGCACTTCGAAATCTATTCTGTAGTTTACTGGTAATCATGAGATCTAAGAACAGGAGTGATGTGCTCCGTTCTCTTAAGCCGGGCGTACACTGTGTGACTTTTTCACTTTTTTGAGCTGATTTTCCACTCGTGCGAGAATCCACAAGATCGGGGCGAGTTTTGCGCTGAGCGTCGTGTAGTGTACAGGGGGTTACGAGAGGCGATTAACACCAAGCGACCAGCTGCCGATCAGCAGTCGTGAGCTCGCACAAACATCTGGCGTGTTTGATATTTTGCTCGTCCCTCGTGAGGGTATCGCACTGTTGAAGCAGCGCTGCGAGCAGCTGCGACACAAAAAGTATCAGAACCGCTCACGGCGCATGCGCAATCCTGCATCAACACAGCTCGCCCGCTATTTCCCTAATAACACAGGTTCGTTTTTATTTCTACACGTGTTTTTACTCACAAAGATTGTCAAGAAAGCATGTTTGTCGTGTTCATGTCAAATTAAACTGATCACAAAACACAGATTTACTTTCTTTATTTCGTTTTCCTCATCCAACCTCCATGAATCCCTGTGTGTCCTCCTGCAGCACTCCCGAAGGACAACAGGCAAGACGGAAAAGTCTGACGTGTTGAGTAAAAAGTGCTATTTTAGCATATTTTTAGGTCCGATGTGTTGCTACCAGACGTACAGTGTGAGCGCATGACTCGTGAGATCTGCCCTGCGAGGAAGTCGTACAGTTTGAGCTGAAGCTGAGTGCTACGAGTGAAAAAGTCGCCCAGTGTCCGCCCAGCTTTAGTTCTTGTTAAGACTCCAGCAGTGGCATTCTGAACAAGCTGCAGTTGCTTCACAGCTTTTTTTGGGAAGACCAATTAGGAGACCATTGCAATAGTCCAGCCAGCTAGAAATAAACACATGAATAAGTTTCTCTAAGTCTGGTCTGGACATGAGACCTTGATGAAGGTGATAAAACACTGATTTTGTTATTGCCTTAATATTTCCAGAGAAGTTCAGGTCTGAGTCAATGAAAACACCAAGATTTCTAACCTGGGTCTTTGTCTTTATTCCACTGGAGTCTAGCTGAGCAATAACATCCATCCTAACCTTAACTTCAGTCTTGTCTTTAACTGAAGGAAGTTTGACCGCATCCAGGCGTTCACTTTCTCTAGACACTGACAGAGTGAGTCCAGTGGACGACTAGGTGATAGGGCTAGGTAGATATGTGTGTCATCAGCATAGCTATGATAGGCAATGTTGTCATCTGACCCAGAATTGAGCCTTGGGGGACCCCACGTGTCATAGTGATCAGCTTCGATTTGTGATCCCCAATAGAGACAACATAGCCCCCCAAAAAATTGTTTATTTGGATCATTACTGCTTTTTTGATCATTTTCCCAATCAGAGGGATATTAGAGATGGGTCGGTAGTTGCTCAACACGGTAGGAACTAGTTTCATCTTATTTAAAAGGAGTTTACAGCGGCAGTTTTCAGTGATTTAGGAAAACTCCTGACATTAAAGAGCAGTTAACAATTTCCAGTACATCAGCTTTCAGGCAGCTAAAACATTTTAAAGACATTTGTTGGCAGGCTGCCCAGAAAGCAGAAAGAAGAATTCGAGGTCTTTACTATCTCCTCAAGTGTGTTAATACTAATCAGGCTGAAAGCTGGCACTATAGCCAGGTTGTTGCTGTGTGGACGTCTCAATGGTCTGGTTGTGTTAGTTGATTTAGAGGAATGAATGGCTGATCTAATGTTTATGATTTTGTCAGTGAAGGACGCAAACTCATCACACTTAGTCTGAGATGTGAAATCAGGGGCGATGAAAGGGAGTCTGATGTGCTTGTTGTTTTGCTGGAAGTTGCACTCCCAGGGATTTTTACCCTAATGACCTTTCGTTGGCATGGTTTTACTCAAACACAAAAATACAGCTTCCTTGCAGTGATTTAGGTATGTACTGTCCTCTATCTACTGGGAAAATACACACTGTCACTTTAATTTTTAAGAAAGCCTTAAAGGAAGATTTATGTTTCGTCACTCCCAAACACCGTTTATGTTTATGAGGTTCAATGAGTTTCAATATATTTAATACACAAGATGTTCTGCTAATGCTAATAATAGCCATGGTGTGGTGTTTAGGTGAGTAAAGGTGTAAATAAAGTCTGAGATGAGAACTTGATACCGACTAAATACAGTTTTTAAAACTCCTACAAACTAAATTTAGAAGCTAGTTGGATTTTTACTCTGATTATAAAAAACAAACTCATTTTCACTTTGAAGGGAGGCTTCAGTGAGGGGAGAGCGACATCTCACCAGATTACCAGAACGGTGTGAGGTCCTAAAACGTTCTGCTCCTCTTGTGTGAAAAGCTCCATTCTCTCGTGCCTAAAACCTCTAAAACAGATGAACGGGTTCCTGAATTCATGATTCGGTCACAAGTCTGCAGATTTAATAGCTAATACAGCTTTGGGGTAAATATAAAATAAAATGCATATTTAGATTTAAGCACTTTCAATTACAGAGTTGCAGCTTCCTCGCCTTCCTGCTTCGCCACGTGGGTTTATTTTGAAGGTTCCTGTCGGAAGTGCGGTTCTCCTGCGTGAGGATTGACGTGTCGTGGCGGGGTGATGATTCGCTTACTTGGAGCAGGAGCGAGTTTGGAGCGGGTTGTGTGAAATGTGAAAGCATGATGTTGGCTGGATAATCAGCGGTAGGAGACGGAGGTAAGAACAGCTCAGACTCCTTCCAGCTGTTTGCGCTCAGAGCAACTTTTCAGCGTCTCTCCGTTTAAAAGGGAAATCTTTAGGATTCGTGTCCGTTATTCGCGCTGGTTTCTTTAGATTCGTCTCAAAAATCATCACAAGTTTGTCTTTCTGTCTTTATTAAAGAGTAATAAAACTTAACTGTCCGAGTCTGCTCCGCTCACCGCGAGGCTCATGTGTTGTTTTCGGAGAGGGGTCCGTTTGTCTCAGAGCGTCTAAACAATAAACGCGGGTTTTGCGCGTCCGCACCTGATGCGCTCCGAGGTTGCGGTTTGTGGAGGGTGCCGAGTGCCAGCGTCCCTGATCCCTGCAGGAGCAGCTGAGAGGTCCGGAGGTACTAAAGCATCAAGACTCATCCTCTAATGATGCGGGGGGAAACGCGCGTGCGTCCGGACGTCGGCTCATTTTTACGCGTCAGTCAGATATTTGGAGTTTATTAACTTATTGACACGTTTACGCGTCATCTGGTAACTATCAGCGTTCTTCAGAGTTGTTTGTGATAATCCTACCTGTTGAAGCGCGAGTGCGTGTGTGTGTGCGCGCGCGTGTAGCTTGACAAAGTGAACCGTCACCTCTCAGTATGCAGACGCTACTCCAGCGACGTGACCGCGCTCCAGCAGACCTCAGATTAATCACCCGCAGTGGAAACTGTTGCTCCGCGCGTATCGACCTGCTGTCTGCCTTTGATTCTTAATTAAAATACATAAACATGTAGGGTGCATCAAACAAGACCTCTGAAGGAACCACTCGGCAGTGCAGATTTCACCGATTGTGATTTAATATTTAATGCTTTGCTTCAAAATATGTCTAAACTATTCCTTTTGATTGAGCAGAGATAAAAGTGTCCACTGGAGTGTAATTAACAGCCTTTTTTATGGTATTGTGAGTCAGTTTGCCTTTCCTCCTCCACCCAAACAGAGCTACGACCAGCTGGAGCCAGTGAAGCAGGCAGGACACGACCACACCTCATGCTGAGGTCCAAGTGCCTCTGCTCTGACAAACATGGGTGTTCTCCAGCTCAACAATCCCTCTCATCCCAGCACGCTCCTGCAGCGGGCCAACCAGCTGCGTCTTACCGGCACCTTGTGTGATGTCATCATCACGGTGGATGGCCACGAGTTTCCAGCGCACCGCACCGTCCTGGCCTGCACCAGCAAGATGTTTGAGATCTTGTTCCACCGCAGCAGCCTGCGCTACGCCCTGGACTTCTTGTCCCCGAAGACTTTCCAGCAGATCCTCGAGTACGCCTACACCGCTTCGCTCCAGGCGACAGCTGAGGACCTAGATGACCTGCTGTACGCCGCGGAGATACTGGAGATCGAGTACCTGGAGGAGCAGTGTTTGAAAGTGCTGGAAACCATTCAGGCGGAGGAGAGCGAGGAGGCGGCGGTGAGGAACCACAGTGACCACGGCCGGGCCAGGCACTGGAGACACATGTTGATGTCCAAGAAGCATTCCATACAGGGTGGAAGCAACTGCGCCACTCCCACTGACCTACACCACCTGGCACTGTACCACATGACAGAGAGGAGCTCTCCGGGTCCAGAGCCTGATGCGGCTCCTGAACTGAGCCCCAAGCTGGGCATTGAGGTCAACATGGAGAGTTCCGAGCAGGCTCAGCGTCACGGCAAAGATGTATCCCAGGACTCATCCCTGGATGTGGTCAGAAGCATCAAATCAGAGCACATGCAGGTGGACGACGCTAGCAGCTGTGAGGGCAGATCCTCCAGCGCTGGGGAGGGAAGCTGCATGTCTGACCAGCCCAGAGACGAGGGCCCAGGGACGCCCCTGAGAGGCAGCGTGATCACCAGTGCTCGCGAGCTTCACACGAGCCCCGAAGACGGAGGGCAAGTGGCGGCAAACGCTCTGGAAATTTTTCCCGGGATCACCGACAAACACCTGGCCTCCATCTATTCCATGGGCTCCAACCACACAGCGGAGGGGCTGCCAGTCACCATTTCAAAGGCCCCGTCGCTGGTCATGCCGCTGGATCCCAGGGCCTACGGAGGTCTGCTGCACCAGGGGCTGCGCCACAGGGAGCTCCTGAGCAGACTGGGCCAGTTTGCAGCAGGGATGAGACACGAGGGCCACGCTAAGAGCCAGCAGTGCTGTGGAGAATGTGGCCTTCAGCTGCACAGCAGGCAGGCTATAGAGCAGCACAGGTGAGACACACACACACGTTTAATCTCAGCACGTACATCTAAAGCATGACAGACATGAGCAGTCTCAAACCGAACCGTTTCCTGATTTAGAGGATTCCTCTTGTTCACAAACCGAGCGAAAGGCTGGAAGGAGCAACAGTAAATATGATAATTTATTCTGAGGGACACCTGCGCTCACGTCTTCGCCACGACGACGTGTGGGGAAGTTTAAAACTGGGTCTTTGTGAGCTGACTGATACAAAGGGGCCTCGGTGTGACAAAAACATTACTTACACAGCCCTAGTTTTTTTATTCTGCTTGATTTTTTGTGAACGTGCGTCCGACAACAGCCCGTCTCTCAGGCTATTTGATATGCATTCCTTTGCATCAACAAAGAAGAGTGTCTCAGCAGGGACCTGGCTGGACGCCTCGCCGACACGATGGATGACTTGTACTTCGCGGCTTCGCTCTGCTCTCATTTGTATTCCCCGTTTGATTATTTTTGCCTTTTTATGAGCTTGTCAGTCTAAATTTGTCACAGCACCAAAAAAAAACAAAAAAACAAAAAACAAAATCTAACTATTTCCTTGAAAAACTCATTAACTGGATTGCAGATGTTAAAGTCACTAATCACTAATCATTAGAAAGATGACGAGTATTAGTCCGCGGTTAGGATCACAGCCGTCACTTGTTCACACCTGCGGCTGACATATCAGCTGCGTGCCACTCTCCCTGGGCTGCCACCTCACCGTGGTGGAGGGGTTTGAGTGTCTCAATGATCCTAGGAACTAAGTTGTCTGAGGCTTTCTGCCTCTGGTAGGGTCACTCATGGCAAACAGGTCCTAAGTGAGGGATCAGACAAAGAGCAGCCCGAAGACCTCTTATGATGAATTATATGAATGGAAACCGTGTTCCCTCGCCCGGACGTGGGTCACTGGGCCCCCCCTCTGGAGCCATGCCTGGAGGTGGGGCACGTTGGCGAGCGCCTGGTGGCCGGGTTTTCACCCGTGGAGCCCGGCCGGGCACAGCCCAAAGAGGAAACATGGGTCCCCTTCCCGTGGGCTCACCACTCGTGGGAGGGGCCAAAGGGGTCAGGTGCAGTGTGTGATGGGTGGTAGTCGAGGGCGGGGCCCTAGGCGGTCTGATCCTCGGCTACAGAAGCTGGCTCTACGCACATGGAATGTCACCTCTCTGGTGGGGAAGGAGTCTGAGTTGGTGTGTGAGGTTGAGAGGTTCTGACTAGATATAGTCGGACTCACCTCAACGCATGGCTCTGGCTCTGGAACCAGTTTCCTTGAGAGGGGTTGGACTTTTTACCACTCTGGAGTTGCTCCCACTGAGAGGCGCCAAGCAGGGGTGGGCATGCTAGTTGCCCCCCATCTTGGTGCCTGTACGTTAGGGTTTACCCCTGTGAATGAGAGGGTAGCCTCCCTCCGCCTAAGTGTGGGGGGACGGGTTCTGACTGTGGTCTGTGCTTATGCACCAAACTACAGTTCAGACTACCCACCCTTTTTGGAGACCTTGGAGGGGGTGCTGGAAAGCGCTCCTTCTGGTGACTCCCTCGTTCTGCTGGGAGACTCACGTGGGCAACGACAGTGAGACCTGGGGAGGTGTGGTTGGGAGGAACCCTGATCTGAATTCGAGTGGTGTTTTGTTATTGGACTTCTGTGCCAGTCATGGATTGTCCATAATGAACACCATGTTCAGACATAAAGGTGTCCATATGTGCTCTTGGCACCAGGATACCTTAGGCCGCAGCTCGATGATCGACTTTGTTGTTGTTTCATCTGACCTGCGGCCGCATGTCTTGGACACTCGGGTGAAGAGAGGGGCGGAGCTGTCAACTGACCACTACCTGGTGGTGAGTTGGCTCAGATGGTGGGGGAGGATGCCGGTCAGACCAGGCAGGCCCAAACGTATCGCGAGGGTCTGCTGGGAATGTCTGGTAGAGTCTCCTGTCAGAAGCAGCTTCAATTCCCACCTCCGACAGAACTTCCAAAATGTTCTGGGGAAGGCGGGGGACACTGAGTCTGAATGGACCCTGTTCCGTGCCTCCATTGTTGAGGCAGCCGACCGGAGCTGTGGTCACAGGACCATCTGTGCCTGTCGTGGTGGCAACCCCCGAACCCGCTGGTGGACACCGGCGGTTAGGGATGCTGTCAAGCTGAAGAAAGAGTCCTATCAGGTCTTTTTTGGCCTGTGGGACTCCAGAGGCAGCTGACGGGTACCGGCAGTCCAAGCGGAACGCGGCTTGGGTGGTCGCCAAGGATAAAACCCAGGCATGGGAGGAGTTCGGTGAGACCATGGAGGAAGACGTCCGTACGGCTTCGAGGAGACTCTGGTCCACCATCCGGCACCTCAGGGAGGTAAAGCAGGCGGACGGACGGACGGGCCACTCAAGAGCCAGAAGAAAAAATTTAAAAAGAGCTTCCTGTGGGATATTTCGAGATGCTCTCCTTACTCACAGAGACACACAGATGTCCGCAGGTTAAAGGAGCCGAGTCGGTGGCTCAGCTTGAGGACGTGGTGAAGTAGCTGTAGGTCTGTAACCAGGTCACTGAGCATACACCTGAGCTGCTGACTGACATTTGCTGGTGTGGTTTGGTGAGCGTCTCTAAGCACAGTTTTAGACGCAAAAACACCAGGAAAATGGGATTAAGATGCATCATTTATAAATTGGGTGTATAAATTTTTTAAGATGGCAGCAGTTAACACCAAGTTAAAAATCTAATTATGTTTAGTCTTTAAGTATCGAGATGGTACTAAAGCGTCTGCATATAGGGAGGAAAATGATGCAACCTGAAATGTTAAATGCAGATGTCCCTAAGAGAACATGAGCTTTCCTCAATGAGCAGGACCCAAACATTAATCTGAACTAAATGAATCAGAATAATGTGAGGAAACAGGATTTGGGCCACTTAAAATAAAAAAGAAAAAGAATTCTGTCTTTAATGTCAAATTTTGAAAAATCTCCAGATTTATGACATTTATCTTAGAATTCTGACTTTTTTTCTAAGAATTCTAACTTTAATCTCAGAATTCTGAAAAATCTCTAAATTTATGACAATCTCTAGATCAGGGATGTCAAATATGCGGCCCGTGGGCCGACTCTGGCCCGCAAGCGGGTTAAATCCGGCCCGCAAAATGGTTGTGTAAACTTTATTTTCAAACTTTACAATGTAGAGTGAAAATAAACTTATCTTTGTGAGCAAGTTTTCTCTGTAATGAGTATAAATAAAACAAAGCTGCGCTCAAGGCTCACACAAGAACTTGAATCACATCCTGAAATTGGCCGCCACTCAGGATGTGACTTCTGATACTGATGTGCTGGTGAAAGCTAAAAGATGTAAAGTAAAATGAGTCAAATATACTTTAAGTGCTGCATGAAACTGACCTAACCATGTGATCTGTGTAAGCTCTTTGAATCACTAAGGAATGTTTTTTATTTATTTATTGACTTTTTTTTTTTAATTTTCAAGTACACTTCAGGTGTTACACTTGTATTACCGGTATTTTGGATACACTGTCCTCAGGCTCCAGCCTTGTTTTATATTGATTGTATTACAACAAAGAAAACAATCTGAAGTTGTTTTTAATTTACCGGTCCGGCCCACTTGGGACTAGATTTCCCTCAATGTGGCCCCTGAGCTAAAATGAGTTTGACACCCCTGCTCTAGATTAATGACATCTCAGAATTTGGACTTTATTATCAAGATTCATGACATTAATAGAATTTTTAGATTAATCTCAAAATTCTGACTTTGTTCTCAAGATTCACGACATTAATCTCAGAATTTTGACTTTAATCTCAGAAGTCAGAATATTTGTATTCTTCTCTCCCTTTTCACCGCCCTAATCGTCTTCCATAGAACAAACAGGATGACTTGCTGGAAAGAAGGGCTGATTTGTTTTTCTGGTGACGTTAATGTCATGTGTTAAATTGCATCTCAGGTTTTGTTTATTTTAAGCAGCACGTGTGTTTGAGCCGCCCTGCTTTTAGTCCATTTGCTGTGCTGGGGGGGTGGGGGTGGGGGGTGGGGGGTGATGTGAGGACAACAGTGCAGATGCCTCACATGCTCAGATTGTGTGTGATATGATAGGTTCTGCTGCCGGCAGAGCTACAGCGAATCATCTCCCTTTCATTGGAGTTGCAGAAGTAGTGTGTGTGTGTGTGTGTGTGTGTGTGTGTGTGTGTGTGTGTGTGTGTGTGTGTGTGTGTGTGTGTGTGTGTGTGTGTGTAGACACGTGGATGTCTACACTCTGAAATTAGCCAGATATCCTATTGTCTGTGTTCTTTCAGCATTCATGCGTTCTGATGCTCACACGCAGCTCTCAGACCAACGACGCTGCGTTCAGCGAGGTTTTCTTGTCTGAACTAAAACATTTTCCTCTCGTCATCGGGGCGATGATGCTTCCAGGGTTGCTGCTGCGGCCACGGGTGTTATTGGGTTGATCAACAAGGTGAAACGGGAGTTTCTGGCAGCGTTCTCATCTCACGTCCGTGTTGGTCTGTTCGCAGGAGGCTGCACAACGAGGAAAAGGGCAACAGCTGCGAATACTGTGGCAAACACTTCCAGGACAGCATGAGGCTCAGGATGCACACGCTGTCTCACACAGGTATTCAGTAACTCACACACACTCACGTCAGAGCGCTGATCAACTCTCTTGATACAGCGGTGCGGCCTTTCACGTGCACCTGTTCACCCCCCCCCCCTCCCCGTTTCCTCCCACATCAGTTAGTGCTGCTCCAGTACTTGAATCATGCTTTCTCTTCCACGCTCCAGGTCCCTCCCTCTCCTGTCTCTCTCCATTTGAATCCTTCCTGGTTTTTTTTTTTGTTTTTTGGTTTTTTTTGGGAGACTCTGGCGGCTCGCCAGCTCTGCCCCTTCTGAGTGATGACATCATCAGCTGCCGGCAGGCCTGGGTGTTCTGCCAGTGTTCCGAAGCGTGTGTGATGGCTTGCTCGCAGATGTGTGTCCAGGAACACACTGTACCCAAATGCAGACTTAATCAGACCTGACTGCTCTCCCAGCTACTTTATCCAAAATAGGGGGGGGGGGGGGGGGGGGCTAGAGACTAAAAATGAAACTAAAGCAGATCCGGCGGTTTGAACGCATGCACAGACGAGGCAGAGTCCCTGTCCCCTCCGCCTGCTCCGTGAGGATTGTTCAGGAATGACAGATGAGAGGGAATCTGCTCCTTTAAACTTCACCTGAGTCGTGCCTTTTTTCCCTCCACACAACCCTAAACACAAACACTGTTTCGCATCACTCTCAGACCTTCACAGCGTGCTTTGATTCTCTGTTCAACGTGGCATCTGCAACAGCAGCACCTTTAACCCAATTTGAATTTTTGCATAAACTCTCCCCATCCAACGTGTCAACCTATAATACTTGAAAAAGCAAACAAGAGATGCGGATCTCATTTCTTTGTCGCCGTGTATTTCAGTATAGCAGCCTTAGATCCCGCTGGTTGCTAAGGAGCGAGTGCTCCACCGCTCTAATGGGCTGATTTGGTATTCAGCTCGATGCTGGCTCTTATTTTGGTATGCCAGACAAAGTGTTTTGATGGAGGACGATTGCAGCCGCGTCTGGAGACAGTTTGATGGTTTATGGATGAGAGCACACTCTGTGCCTTTGACTGCACAAGACAATGCACTATGTTCTCCTCTTCCCTTATCACACAATCTCACACGACAACACACCACGCTGGACAGCGTCAAACAACATCAGGATCCACCGTTCCTGCTACGCGGGGCTGCGCCGAGCCGAGTTTTGTTTCTGTTCCGTGAAACAAAACGTTTTCAGAAAGTGTTGTTTTTAGAAATGAGCAGATCTGGGCATTTTCTCTGTGTGTGTGTGTGTGTGCGTGCGTGTGTGTGTTTTATTTGCTCTGGGAGCTGTGGCGCTCCGTCTGTGTGCAGAGGCATCGTGCGAGTTGAAAGAGGACCACATTTAGGCTGCAGAACACAGAGTTCCCAAAGCTTGTGGGTGTTTTAATGAGTCATTTTAACTTCATTTAAAGCCAGCTGAGCAGAAAATAGATCAGTGAATGAGCCCTGGGCCAGTATGGATCTGAAACCGATTTACATCTCAGTGAGAGCCAACCCACATCCAAACAGCTGTGTGTGTGTGAGAGCGTGTGTGTGTGTGTGTGTACGTGTGTGCAGGTGTGAGGTGAGTGCACAACAAGGGCTGAATGTATGCATGCTCATCTCTTTCATGTCTTCATCAGAATAGACAAGGGCATTCCAGAGGTGACCTGGGAGCTGGAGTTACAGTCCATGTGATGAGATTTGGGGTGTTGACTCTGAAGTGTGTGTGTGTTTTATTTGTTTTGTGATAAAGGGATGTGCCGCAGGCAGGAAGTGTCTGCTGTACACAGAACACCCAGTCCTTCTGTAGACTGGCAGCCTGCTCACTGTTCACAGGCTGATAACAGACCACGGTAAATAAAACTCTTCAACTCTGCTCCCTTTTTCCTCAAGAACAAGGACCATTGCACCCCGTCCGGTGCTTTTATTTGGCCCCCAGCCATGTTTTCACGGTGCTGTCCCCGGCTCCATTGTACCACGCACGTTTGGTCCTTTTTGTTAACGCCTGAAAATCACAAGAGCGTCCGACTGAACTCCTTTTGGGTCATTTTATTTCCACTCTTGAAATGCTAAAGGAACAACGGTGAGACTTAATGTAAATGTGCGACTGTCACCTACAGCTCCTGCAGAGGCTCTGGTGTGCGATCAGTGTGGAGCAACGTTCTCCTCTGAGGATGCTCTGGAAGCCCACAGGCAAACACACACAGGTATTTACACACACACACACACACACACGCGCGCGCGCGCTTCGTTTAACTTGGGCAGCACGCATTGAGCTGTTGAGTAAGCCCCGACTATGAGACTTCAGATCACAGATCGGAACTTGCTCGTCATGCTGGCTGGGTTCACGTGTTCCTGTCATGGAGCTCCGTAATTTATCAACAGGGAGGTGGGAGGTCCTCTCACACACCACATGCCAACATCTCCTGGCATCCAGGCCACAGCTAAAGCCTCACAGCAGCGGCGTTACAGCTTCACAGACACACGATCCTCACCTCCACTGGGATGGCGGGTGAAAAATTTGTCACCTTGCAAACACTTCAGTGTTTCTCAATGGTCTGACATTAAAAAAATAAAAGCACATATTTAGATTGTATATCTGAGTTTTCAAAAAGGATCGAAGAAGTTTGGCCAAAATCTCAATGGGCTGTAGCAAGTTGTAGAAGAGATATAATAAATAATATAGAATAGAAAATCCCTTTATTGTCCCGCTATAAAGAATAAACAGTGAGTCAGATTTAAAAGTAAACAAGAAAATAATGTAGAAATACTTTAGGTGCAGGTTCACCAAGAAACCTGTTTTACTTATTTTTGAAAATGATCAGTTACTCTGAGTTTTTCATGCAGAAAACAGAAAATAGCCTCCTACATCTCCTGCATTAGCTTCTGATAAAAAACTGATGATAAAATTCTAGGATTAGAAAATCCTGGCAGATCTACGACATACATTCATGGACTCACCCATCTTTACTCACGACGGGCAAGGCGGTTGTTTTAGCGTCCAGGAAACTAGTAGAAGCTAACCTTTAGCATTAGCAACTCCACCAAACAGCAGAACTCCTTCAGGTTTGTGTTACTTGTGGAGATAAAACCTCAACGTTGCAGAACAGTCAGTGGTAGAGTTGTGTTGCTGATGGCCAATCAGAGGCAAGATGTCCAAACATTAGGAAACAAGACTCCAAATCCTGCCGTCTGAATCTACTTTCTCCCTCAGCTGACTTCTACTTCCTGAAGCAGGCGCACAGAGCTTTTTTCCTAGAGAACAAACTACAAGGTCCTACTAAGCAAATGAGCAAAGTTGACCTTTAAGATTTCAATTTTGAACAGCATTTGCAAAAGAGTTTACAAAAATATTGAAGGTCTTGCTTCGAACGTCAGCTTGCTGAAGTTTCTACCACGTTCAAAAAACATTGAAATAATAAAAAACACAAATAAGTGCGGTTGATGAAGGCCCGACGATCAAGACAGGAAGTGCCTGTTCTCTTTCTAGAACTGTATTTGATAAAATGATTAATGACCCGCACTTGTATAGCACTTTTCAGAGTAAGGACTCCAAAGTGCTTTACACCACAGTGCATCATTCATCCATTCACACACACACATTCACACACTGATGTATAACTTTGTATAATGAAAGTTGAAAAATGCTTATTAGTAGGACTGGGTGATGAAACAATAACAATACATATTTCAAATTAACTTCCTAGATAGGTTGAGAATGGGTTGCTAGAACGTTGATATAAAGAACAGATGAACAGCCACTCATTAAGTGTTGCTCTGGTCTGGACCAATGGCTGGAACAGAGCCACAATGAAAATGCTAATGGCTAATGTTCATGTAGCTTTAGCCTCTTGCTGCAGAACAGGTTACATGGCTAGAAAAAATGAGCACCCTGAAAGGGAAAGAAAAAGATGGAGGATGCCACGACAGAGACAGAACAGTTTAGCCAGAAGTCGGAAAAAACGTCATAGCTGGGCTGCTAATGATGCCGAGCACAGGTTCTGACAAAGTCGGGGGAAACCACTGATCCGTTTTAGCTCCAGAACCAGCTCCACCTACAGACATCATAAACGACATGTAGACCCCATGGAGCTGGCATAAGAGAGGGCTGCCATCTTGGATGAGTTCCCATCGGCCTCCGGTGCATTTATTTCTACTGAGGAAGGTTTAACCAACTGAAGAATACATTTTATTACACTTTTTCTTAAAATCAGATATATGGTATAGCATAACTAAAATATAAATATAATTAAATAAAAATATAAAATCCCAACTAGAGTCTATAGTAATCCCACATGATCTGTTTTCAATAGTACGCCGGTTGTTGCAACAAAAAACGCGCATAGTTGCTCACCATTTGGGTTTGGAGAGTGAGGAACCCATCCAATATGGCGGCGACACTGCCACACCCTCCAGTGCCCAATGACACACGTATCTACGTGTTCATGTCTATGGTCTGAAGCTACTTTCTCCTCCAGCTGACTTCTACTTCCTGATTCAGGTGCATCTAGACTTTTCTTCTTTAAAAGCTGCTTAAATTTTCACTGATGTAAGTTTTCTCTGAATCTTTTTTCAGCTTTTTCATTTTTATTTTATATTTTCAGCGAGCAGAGATTCCATTGCCCATTTTGATTTCAGCAGGTCACGTCCAAGTCCGTTCTGTCCTCCTCTAACGTTTGTGATTTTGATACTTGCTCGGCTTCTGAAAATAATCTAAAATCATTTTCAAATCCACCTTAAAAGAGAAAATTAAAGACTGAAAGTTGTTTGTTTTGGGGGAATAGGGATTTTGTCCACGGCGCCCAGCCCTACCCGTCTATGTGTAAACGAGCTGCTCTGCAGGTGTTCGGCAGTGAGACTGTTGTCTGACGCTACATTTGCCCAATGGTGTCTGAACCCACACCTTTTCTGCTACTGTCAGAGAAAGGCGATAACCCTCTCAGGAGCATTGGCACGTAACTGTAACTCCTGGTGGCACCCACAATATGAATACTTAATGGATGTGCACATGGAGAGGTGGGGTGTTAACGATGCCCCCCCCCATCTCTCTGAGTTTTTAACACCCAGAGCTCGGTTTCAGTTTGGCGGAGTATCCAGAGTAGGGTACAGGAGGACATCACGCTCTTATTTTGTAATGATCTTGGCTTGGCCCGCTGTGACGCACTCACCCGGGCTGTGACACCAACCACTGGTAATTTAATCAGCCGGGAGGAGATTATGACTGGAAATGGAGGAATAAACTTGTGTTTTGTGACACAACCAGGGAGCCAAGTGAGTTTCCTTTTAGCAGATTAACACTCGTCAGACCCTCAGCAGCACTGTCCGTGTCCTCTGGAGGGGACATAATGCTACTTGCGTGTGTCCCTGTGTGTGTGTGTGTGTGGGGGGGGGGGGGGTCCTAATCTGAAGCACTTTACTCATTCTGCTACTCAGCACAAGTTTACAGTGAAATCTCGTTTTGATATGTCAAAGGTGAACGTCCGTGGGTTGCTGGAGTCGGGGGAGGGGGCTTCCTGAGGGCAGGAGGATTGCTGCTGGTGTCGAATGCCAGGAATAAGAGGAAAACAACATCATGTGTTGCTGTTTACTCCTCACCACGGCTCTGTCATCATCTCTTCTGACCTAGTTGTCAGTGCCCAAAATAAAGAATGGATCTGTCTCCGAAGTGCTCTCACAACAAAGGGGTCTGTCTCACCAAGCCCGGACGACGATCCGAGGCACCAAACCTTTTTATTTTTGGGGAAGAACCAAGACGATAACTCGCCTAGCGTCTGAGCCTTTTGCCACCTTGCCTTTAGGAGCGAGTACGAGTGCTCACAGCAGCTGCCCTCTTTCCACACGTTACAGGCTGCTTCACCAAGTCTAATTAAACCTTCCTGTAGTCTATTCAGATACAGGCCCAGCTTTAATGCATCCCTCTTAATGCAGACCTTTTAGCCTGCCTAAATGCACGTCCGCCATCACTCTGCGCCACCCTGGTAATGCCCACTTTTAGTTGGTACGAGCCTCTACCTCAACTGACCTGAGCTCTGCCCACCCACCAAGATGCATTTGCACGTGGATAGATTTCATGTAAAAGCTGGTGGTTGCATAGAATACTGTAAACATTCTAGGTGTGTGTGTGTGTGTCTGTGTGTGTGTGTGTGTGTGTGTGTGCGTGCGTGCGTGCGTGTGCGTGTGTGTGTGTGCGTGTGTGTGTAACCTCGATGTGCCGGACCATGGAATGGTGCTTAAACATGCATCTTGTGTTGCATTAATTATTGAGTCGTTTGTTCGTCACTCGGGTAGATTAGCAGTCTACTGATAAGAGCCTGGGGTTATTTAAGGTACTGTAGCAGTGTGTGTGTGTGTGTGTGTGTGTGTGTGTGTGTGTGTGTGTGTGTGTGTGTGTGTACTTTCAATAAGCATGAATGCACGAGTCATGTGAAGGCTTGCACATAATGTAGCCTGCTTGATTTTTTTATGCTGAACTAAGACTACCCCCCCCCCCCCACACACACACACACACACATTTGATCATCACTGATATGTTATAAACTGTGAAATCTGTGGGAAACTTCTCATTACTGACGTAGCTAGTCACCGTTTTTTGTTACAAACACAAATTAGATCTTCACATCCTTTTTTTAACTCTTAATAATACATATATTTCCTTGTAATATTGGAAATAATGCTCACAAAACATAATATAAGATGAAAATAAAACGTTCAATACACAATTCATAGTAAAGAAAAAAGTCTAATTAAAGGTGTGGAGCACAGAATAAATATTTTTATATATTATTTTTATTGTAATCGCTCACTGAGTTTTCGTGCAGGCTGAACATTAAAAACGTCTCCTACACCTATCTGCTGCATTAGCTTCTGATAAAAAATATACGGTGAAACTCTAGATTTGAAAAGCCTGACAGATCTAAAGTCATTTCTACCAGAGACCACTGCACTGATTAACTCATTCACTGCCAATGACGACTAAAGTCGTCATTTGCATTTTTTTACTGTTTGAGCATCGGAGCGAGCCCCCGCACTGAGAGAACAAACATCTCAGCCCTGAAGCCGATCTTCATCCGCATACGTCACAGATCACATGATCAGGAAGCAACACATCCATGTGTTAGGAGATCGTTTTGGGCTGTTCCTGTAAAAAAAAGCGAGGCGCGAACCGGAAAAGCGTCTGCTGATCACAATTCGACAACAATTATGAAAGAACGGATAACGCTTGAAACACGTGGCTTCTTCCTGATGTAAGAGGTGAGTCTCCTCTTTGTTTTGGTTGTTTTGGCATCGACATCATGCTAGCGCGCAACGTTCTGTGACTCTTAAAAAAACAGTAAAAACGGTGAGAAACGCTGGCAGCGAAGGGCGTTAGTGATCAGGAAACGGCTGGCAGTGAATGAGTTAAACGACTGTTCAACATCTTTAATCGTGGAGTTTGTGTGGATTCCATTCCTCAGTTCTTTTTCATGGCATTTTCAGTCTGAACTCACGTAATTATTTCCATAGTGTGTAGTTCTTCCATAATCTCCATCCATCGAGACACGGATACAGTTTGAAGACAAGTCCGTATTATAGTTTCACTGCTGGCTTTCAGCGTAACTGTACAGGTAGCTGGCTTCTGGTCGGATTTCTGACTTTGACGCCCGACCCAGATATAAAGTTTGGGGGTTCTTCTTTATTTCACATCCAAGTACTTCCCTCAAGACTCCTGCAAAGTTCACATTCTAAAGACACGTATTGAATTTTATACTTACAGGAAATAATCTAGCAGACAATCTGAACAAATGAGAAAAGTGAGGACAAATCTAAGCCAATTTGTGGTCCTCACCAATACAGTCTTTTGTCCAATTTGCAGTGGGTTTGCTCCCAGATTCTCAGGGTGGGAAACTATTGTTTGCCCCCATGAAAAGAAACAGGCTGCGCTCATTTGTGAATGAAGGGATTAGCTCGAACACTTCACCCTGACGAGGACCATGATCCTATCTGGTTGCCTAGACACATGGTTTTGTTTCTCAGACAGCGTGAGAGCCTGGCTAGCTTCCACCTCAGCTGGACTCAATACGTGACAGATGTATGACGGCAGACCGCGTTAAATCACATGAGCTTACATACTGTCCTAATGAAGATACGCTAAAACCACTTTAGAGCCTTAAACTGTCTCCCGTCTTTGACCTAATCATGGATTAGAAGAGCAGCTCTGTACTATAATGCACACAGTAAATGTAGATTTGCTTAAAAGAAAATCATTACGCCCACTGTTAACCCCCCAGCCACTAAACACAATGCTCAGTCAACTCTCCAGCCTTTAAGAAAAACCATTGATTAGATGGTATTTTACCCCACTGAGGGGCAGAGGTCGGAGGGGTCAGCCGGCGCCTCAGAAAGGTCAAATCCCAGACCTTTTGTGTGTGGTTAGGGGTGAGAAAGCGGGGGCGACGGCAGCCAACTTTAGTGCTCTGCACCTCCCACCAAAGCTTGCTAGAAAAACTCAGCGACCGCAAAAACCTTTTTTGTTTGAAAAGTTAACAGAGAGCCAAGCGAGGCGAAATGCCACCGCTAACGCGCACAAACACTCCTTTGGCTCCAAAGGTTTCTCTTTTACACTTCAAGACATTATTTGGTATATTTTTATTTTCAGCCGTCAGTTGAGCTGAATAAAAAGAAAAAAAAAAAAAAACGGCTGCTGAGCTGTTGTCAGTGTGTGTCAACCGCAGATCAAGAGGCAGATTCTTGTGACAGAATATTCGTCATTTCTATTCTCAAGTTTCGGGATTGTCGGTGACAGAAGGATCAAGTCTACATCTGTGAACGTCTGCCGAGTGTGTCGCAGAGTGGCGGTTTACCTCCGCGCAGAAACCAAACTTTCACAGCCTGAAGTATGCAAGCTGCTCTGAAACTGGCGCCTACGAGATGCGACGGCTAATGGCGGCCGATTAAAGCTGCTTTGATGCAGTCACAAGGTGTTTTATGATGTGTTCAGCCTACAGCGTGGTCACACTAACAGAAACAACTCCCCCTGCTGGCGGAAGCACATAAATTAGACACAAACTGGTGAAAGAGGAGGAAGTTTAACATCACAGGTCATACAGAGACTGCATGTTCAGCTTTTGAAATGTCTTTGGCCATTTTTAGACTGATCATTACGCTGCCCTCGCTGTCACTGAGTGACCAGGCATTAGTGAGGTATGAGTCAGGCAGAAAATGAAGCTGGTTAGACAGCTGAATGATTTCCTGTATGGTCAGCAGGTGCAGGGGGTGGGGAGGAGTTGCAGAGGCGGTGAGAATTGAAGGCCCTTTGTTTGCGACTAAAATATTGTGATCCGCGGGTGAGAAAGGGTCTTGGTCATTAGGCGGCGGCATAAAGGCAGGTTTTGTACCAGTTGCACGAGGAGGCTATGACTAATAGGCCTGGCCAGTGAGGGCCTGAACCTTATTGTGTGCCCTTTGTGCAGAAGTCCATGGGCTAAGGTGTGGTTCATTCCACCAGATCGCCTCACTGAGAAGTGTTGAGCTCAGGGGAACATGTCCTTTCTCCCATCCTGGTTTTTGTTAATGATTAGGAATCGCCAGCTTCGTTTTAGCGAGGGAATTTAAACAGATTTGCTTTGTTATTGTTGAAATGTGAAGAATTAGAAAAGTGGTGATGTATGGATTAGTAAACAGTACTGAAAGACAGCGTTTGACTCGTGAAAATGTGAATTTGTTTTGTTCGTTTCTTTGAGCAGGCTCGTCTGTCTGCTAACTTGATTGAACCTAAAGCAAGTGTCTGACACTCTTCCCTCTTAGTATGAGTGTGCTGTATCCCTTTCCCTGCGTTAATTCCAATTTAATTGCCAGTTGCCTCAAGGCACTTCAATAACAGTAACAAATGATTTGATTTAGTGGACCTCATCAGACTGCATTTTAAATGCGACACAGCAACCCCACTTGAATTCCAATGAAGTGCTGGCACAGTCCTCTGTTTACTAATGATCCTCCGCTGGAGATGTCTGATTGAATCTGAGTCAGGAGCAATGGGACCTGCTCACATTGTAAATGATCCACAACCTGAGCAGACAGAGAAATAAGGACCTCATAATCTCACATTAAAGCCTCGCTCTCCAGGACATGCACGCTACGTGAGATCTGCTTATTAACCCGTCCCCCAGTCCCACCAGTCCTGCACGGATATGAACACAGGAAAAGATCTGAGCTCTGGCGCATGCAGCCTGTAGATCACGTGTTGACTGTATGACGGCCAGTGGATCTTCTTCACGAAGCCATTTTGACTTAAACTGCCCCTGCCAGCGTCTCCCCATCTGTATTCCTCTCCACACTCCATGAAACAGGAAAGCAGCCCCAAAGAGATGCCAGGTCACACACAGGATTAAACTGGATTGTGTTTTTTCCTGCGGTCCTGCCTTTAATGGCTTGATATCACTACTTAACATTCTGCACGGAGTGCATAGTGTAGGCATCATTTAGGGTGGAGCCACTATCAGCTGCTCTTTGAGCACAGAAACAGAGGACTTCACAGGCTGGAGCCGACTCCTGATGGGGAATGAAGAGAATAATTACACATCTAACACACCAGGAAGGAGCCATTGATTGTGTGATTGGCATGCTGTGCATTGTGCGGGGAAATTCTTAAAGAAAACAATCACTTTCATGGTTGAAAATAGAACGTATAAAAACTCGCAGCTGAAAGCGCCTCTGGGCTTTTAGGGGAGTTAGTTTAGGTAGAGGCACTTGCTCTTTGAAAGAAGCTTTTCCCTCAGAGGACTCAACACAAAGTTGAAGTGACCCAGTTTCCCCACTTAAGGCCCTGTCTGTGTATGCTACTGAAATAACTCCGCGCCTGTGTCTTGTGGGTTCTCCAGGGACTGACATGGCGGTGTTCTGTCTGCTGTGTGCAAAGCGCTTCCAGACCCAGAAGGCCCTGCAGCAGCACATGGAGGTCCATGCGGGGATGCACAGCTACATCTGCAGCCACTGTGAGCGCCCCTTCCCCAGCCACACCACCCTCAAAAGACACTTGCGCTCGCACACGGGTAAGAGATCACTCGCACCACCGCTGTTGTCAGCTGCTGTCATAAAACATGAACATGCTGGTGTCAAACGTGTGCATATGTTGAGGGAGAGACAAAGACGGCTGTGTTTATTTCTGTAAGTGGGTTAATTTCCTCGGGTTATTGGCTGTAAGGTTCGAGTCAATTTGCACGCATCCTCTCCCACTGTTCCTTCTCCCCTCTCTCGATAAGATGACTCACCTCTCTGATGACAGCACTGTACCTCTGTGGCCGGTGCATATTTTGGGCAATTTCATCCTGTTTATATTTGGGGATCTCAAGACAGCCTTTGGGCCTCTGCCGTTCACGGCTGTCACTTCTTGTGCGGTTCACCAAAAAACGAAAGAGGAAACCTAAATAAATATTGAAGGAAAGGCAAATGGAAGTGACTCGTCTCTGTGTTGTACCGAGGGTGAGTCTTGGTGCCGCAGGAGACGAAGGGATATTTACTGAAAAGATGTCCCCTTTTCTTCTTTTACCTTAAATAACACTACCAGCTGTCAGGATGGCTTGATGTCTAGACAGGAGAAATACATAATTGATGTGAAGAGACAGAAGTGAAGGGAGTTTTGGCCATGGCGGCATATCTTGTTTGTATGCCATTCTGCTTGGAAGTAACATTTTGTAAATGTCATCTGCTCCACAGTGGGGTGGGGGATTGGGGGAGAATGGGCCTGTAATGAGGAGAGCAATGTATCCTCTGAGTTGGCTGTTGCTGTGGACACTGAGATAATGAGGCACATAGGTCATTGGAGATGAGTCAAACCCTTGGCCTAGGAGAGAAACAGATTAACTACAGTATAGAGAACAGAGCAGCACATGTCTTGAGGACTTTTATTAGCTATTAGCAGACAACCGAGAGGAGTTTCCTCATGTCACAACATTAGCAGCATCTGAACGAGCATTATTCCCCTGCTTGATGAGCGTGTTTGGATAGACTGACCTATGCAGCTACATGTGCAGTGTGTCACCAATAAAGTTTGATGCTTCCCCGCCGTGACTGTGTGTTGGTGTTGGAGGCTGCTGTCGTGACACGACTGTGTTTTCAGGCGATCACCCGTTTGAGTGTGAATTCTGCGGGAGCTGCTTCAGAGACGACGGCACGCTGAGGGGCCATAAACGCATCCACACGGGGGAGAAGCCTTACGAGTGCAACGGCTGTGGCAAGAGGTTCAGCCTGAAACACCAACTGGAGACGCATTATCGTGTTCACACAGGTGAGGGTTCAGAAAGGACAGCAGGCTCAAAAAATAATGGTTTAGAGCTGAAAGAGGAGACAGGGAGTAGGTCTTAAAATATACAAGCAGTTATTAGAGGATTCTGTTCAGGGGTATGTATTAGCAAGAGGTTGACGATACAATGTGTATCACAATACTGGAGAGATGATACGATATTTAGCCAAAAACTGGGGAGGCAATACGTTTTATATCACAATATGGGGAGTGTCGAATCCTAGCTTGCGATTTCTCTGGTCAGAACCGGACATCACACGAGACCAGCTCTCCATTTCTCGGGTCCGAACCCCTTATGCCTGTAGGGCAGGGGTGTCAAACTCATTTTAGCTCAGGGGCCACATTGAGGGAAATCTAGTCCCAAGTGGGCTGGACCGGTAAATTATAAACAACTTCAGATTGTTTTCTTTGTTTTAATACAACCAATATAAAACCTCTTCCTTGAACCGTCACCTTTTCGTGGTGGAGGAGTTTGAGTGCCCTAATGATCCTAGGAGCTATGTTGTCTGGGGCACTATGTGCCCCTGGTAGGGTCTCCCATGACAAATTGGTCTTAGGTGAAGGGTGAGACAAAGAACGGTTCACAGGATCTTTCATGGAGGTAAAGTCAAAGAGTTGGAGTACCCGGCCCTGAGGGTTACCGGGGTCCCACCCTGGAGCCAGGCCTGGGGTTGGGACCCATGAACGAGCGGCTGGTGGCTGGGCTTTCACCCATGGGGCCCGGCAGGGCCCAGCCCGAACCGGATACATGGGCTCATCCAACTGTGGACCCACCACCCGCAGGAGGAACATGAAGGGTCCGGTGCAATGTGGATCGGGTGGCAGACCAAGGCGGGAGCCTTGGCGGTCCGATCCCCAGACAAGAAAACTGGTTGTTGGGACATGGAACGTCACCTCGCTGGCGGGGAAGGAGCAGGAGCTTGTGGCAGAGGTTGAGCGGTACCGGCTAGATATAGTCGGACTCACCTCGACACATAGCACTGGCTCTGGAACCCAAGTCCTTGAGAGGGGTTGGACACTCTCCTTTGCTGGAGTTGCTCCGGGTGAGAGGCGGAGGGCTGGGGTTGGCTTTTTGCTAGCCCCAAGACTCTCTGCCTGTGTGTTGGGGTTTACCCCGGGGGATGAGAGGGTAGCTTCCCTGCGTCTTCGGGTCGGGGAACGGGTCCTGACTGTTGTTTGTGCTTATGGGTCAAATATCAGTTCAGAGTACCCACCCTTTTTGGAGTCCCTGGGACGAGTGCTAGATAGTGCTCCATCAGGAGACCCCATTGTCCTGCTGGGGGACTTCAATGCTCACGTGGGCAATGACAGCTTGACCTGGAGGGGTGTGATTGGGAGGAACGGCCCACCTGATCTTAACTCGAGTGGTGTTTCGTTATTGGACTTCTGTGCAAGCCGCAGTTTGGCCATAACGAACACCATGTTCAAACATAAGGATGCCCACCGGTACACTTGGTACCAGGGCAGCCTAGGTCGCAGGTCGATGATAGACTTTGTAGTCGTATCATCTGACCTGCGGCCGTATGTTTTGGACACCCGAGTGAAGAGAGGAGCGGAGCTGTCAACTGATCACCACCTGGTGGTGAGTTGGATCAGATGGCAGGGGAAGATGCCGTGTAGAGCTGGCAGACCCAAACTCATAGTGAGGGTCTGCTGGGAACACCTGGCAGAAGAACCTGTCAAGACGGTCTTCAACTCCCACCTCCGGCAGAGCTTTGACCGCGTCCCGAGAGCAGTGGGGGACATTGACTCCGAGTGGGCCTTGTTCCACTCTGCGATTGTTGAGGCGGCTGTTGCTAGCTGTGGTCGTAAGGTGGCCGGTGCCAGTCGTGGTGGCAACCCCCATACCTGTTGGTGGACACCAGAGGTTCTGGAAGCTGTCAGGCTGAAGAAGGAGCCCTACAGGGCGTGGCTGGTCTGTGGGTCTCCGGAGGCAGCAGACAGGTACCGGATAGCCAAGCGGGGTGCAGCAGTGCCAGTTGCCGAGGCAAAATCTCGGGCGTGGGAGGAGTTTGGTGAGGCCATGGAGAAAGACTATCGATCTGCTCCAAAAAGGTTCTGGCAAACTGTCCGGCGCCTCAGGAGAGGAAGGCAGCAACTCGCTCACATTGTTTACAGTGGGGATGGGGAGCTGCTGACGTCAACTGAGGCTATAGTCGGACGGTGGAAGGAATACTTTGAGGAGCTCCTCAATCCCACCTATGCTTTTAAATATTGGTTCAGTATCATTACATGAAATATTGCAATATTTCAGTATATCAACAGTTTCTTCAAACCCTAATTATTTGTATTAACTCAGCTAGACGTACAGAACTCAGACACACTAGAAAGGGCTCACATGTATTTAGAGGCAATCACAGATGCAGCATAAAAGCAGATCGGTCTTTCTGTTCGGATTTTTTTTTGTTGCTAAACAGAAATTAATTAAGATAAAAAAACGCACTGAATCCGTTTTTCCTCCCAAACACAATTTTGTGACCCTGTTTGGCACTTAATCAGCCAAAACGGTCAGAACAAATAAGGAGGTCTGATAACATTACCAATTATTTTTGTTCGAAAGCACGAGTGCACAAGCGCGCGGTTAGTCTTTTTCAGTTTACCTTTTAGAGAATTTCTTAGTTTGTTAAATTTTCTGAAATAGTTAAACGTGTCATTCTTGCTTTGACTCATCTTTCATCATTTCATCATGAGTCCCATTACATCTAGATAATCATGTGAGATTATTTCCACAACGTTTTGACAAACATACACAAGTTTTGATAGAAGTCGTTTATCCTTGAGATGAAAATAGTCGCACTTGCTTTTGTAGAGATTACAGAACAGAGGAGTCGGCCGTGCCTTTAGGAGCGAATACACAAGAAGATGTGATCTGCAGCCCTGCAGAAAAGTATTCCCCTATTATTTTATTATCATATTTTATAAGCAGCTGGAAATTCATGCTGAATTTTAAATTTGCATCATTTCAGTTTAATCAAACAGGTCTGAGTGCACCTGCAGCTTTAATTATTAAAGGCTTAGGGTTGTGGTTATGTCTGTTGTATAAATTTTCAATTTTGTCTCTTTTTATGTTAGTTGCTGCTCAAGTGTGACACCCTGTGGTTACCTAGGTTGTGTATCACATCTTAACTATGAATATACATTCAACAGCAGAGCTTCTGATGCAGCCGTTAAATTAAAGCCAGCCCAGTACAGCATTCCTATTTAGGCACACAAACTCATTTTCATGAAGTTATAACTCATTAAAGGCAAGGTTAAAGCCTCATTGAGGATTTGTTTTGTAGGTGAGAAGCCGTTTGAGTGTAAGCTGTGCCACCAACGGTCTCGAGACTACTCAGCCATGATCAAGCACCTGCGCACACACAACGGAGCTTCTCCGTACCAGTGCACCATCTGCCAGGACTTCTGCCCCAGCCTGGCTGCCATGCAGAAGCACATGAAGGGCCACAAACCCGAGGAGGTGCCGGCCGACTGGAGGATAGAAAAAACCTACTTGTATGTCTGTTACGTCTGAGCGGGACTTGGACCCCAGGCGCGGTCTGACACAACATTGTCACTACTGGGTGGAAACCTGTGTTGCTGGTTTTAATGCTGATGGATTGTGCGTTCCTGTTGAGGTGTTAGAAATTTTTTTTACTGTTTTTTTATTTTTATTTTTATTGCATCATCTCTCCTGGACAGAGAGAAATGCAAAGGTGTTTACACAACTAATGATCGGTTTCACCATCGATCGATTTGTTTTCCTCCTGAATCTTTTAGACGCAACTTGACACAGTGAGACAAAATTTAAGTCAATCTAACAGGATCAAGTCAAGAGATTCAAGTTTTTTTTAGTCAATAGTTTCAAACTTTTATTTGATCAACGACCTTTGGCAGATTCCTGATGATTTCATTATTCTAGCCCTCCTGCACACAACCTTCCTGTCTATCTCACTCAGAGTTCATTACTGTATCAGTGAAGGATCCGCTGTGGTGAAAATCAATATCACGATGACTCCGTGTAGCAGGCGCATTCTGAATGGCGGCTACGATTGTGTAGCCGATGGTAGAATAATTCCACCAAGGCTCGATTAGCTGACATTTGCAACGCTATTCTCCTGAATTTCTGTGACTTTGTTTTGTTTTTTATTGTTTTTGGAGTTTTGTGTATTTCGTGCATGTTTTACTTGAAAGGCTGACCTCGTGAGCTCTTTAACTGCCTCGTCTCTCATGCAGTCGGTGTTTATTGACTCAAAGTGGCTCACTCGCAATCTGAGCTGCTTTTGTAATAGGTTTTGCTATTTATGTTGTTTATTTGTTACCAAATATGTGCTGGTTCTCACCCCACAGCCTGTGTCTCTTGGGACGTTTTCTGGTAGAGCGAGCTCCGTCTCCCCCTTCCACATTTTTCATAGTCTGTTTGAAAGTCACTGAAAACTATTCCCCCATCAGTAGGTTTACTTTGGTAATGTCTCAATATCTGTGATCAAACTGTGTGTGTGTGTGTGTGTGTGTGTAGGGGGGGTACAAGCCTCTACAGGGCTTTTAAGTGTAGTTTATTTTTTTATCATTGCCCATATATAGATGTCTTACAAAAATCACAGAGTCAAAATTTTCTAGTGGAAAAAGAAAGGTGTAAAAAGTTTTTTTATAAAACGTGACGAGAAAATTCTGATGTCTGATTGGTACGAGCAGGTTGTTGTCAGTCGTAGTGTAGCTGTAACGTACAAACTGTCATGGTGTCCACGTGTGAGCCTCAAACGGGCCTTATAGAGTCGTTGTATTTTTGTATTACAGTAATTTGCTGTTTACATTTGATATGATTTGACAAACATCCTAGTGTGTGTGTGTGTGTGTGTGTGTGTGTGTGTGTGTGTGTGTGTGTGTGTGTGTGTGTTTTATAAGAGTTGATTAAGACCCCTCCCTTGTGCCTCTTTCGTAGGTAGAGCATTGATGTGCTTGAGTACACGGGTCTGTGCTGTTGGTCGGTGTTTCTGGGCGTTTGTTTGTTGTTGATTAAAGAGACTGCCATGTAGATCCACTTTGTCTCAACATTGCAACTGGAAGCAACATGCTGTGATAGTGGCTGATAATCTGATGCAAGTCCAAAGCAATTTTGATGGAAAATGCTCGTCTGAAATTGTTCCCTTCAAAGTGACAATGGACTGACATCTCTGGGTGTATGGCGCATCGTGGCATCTGTGGGCATCACCCATGCCTTCGTAAGCAGCCAACAACACTCAGCGCCATGGAAAACACACATTCATTGTATCTATTATGCGTGAACATGCACTAAAAATGGATTTCCTCGGTGGACCAAAAGAAATGGAGCACTTTTGTTTGCAAAGGTTTTTTTTTCTTTGATCTGTGAATGTTGTGATAATGCAGCTGTCTTTTATTTGATGTGTCCTAGAAGGATGTGATTAGCATTGTTTAGATTATGTCACTGTCTGTCTACCTCAGGACCAGATCAAAGCTTGACCTGGCATCCAATCAGGGTTGTTCTTCTTGCCATGTGTGCAGTAAAATCCCCTCTTCATTACAGCTTTGTAACACTGTGTGTGGAAGTGTTTCTCGGTGTGGATTCAGGCACAACTCTGTATGCGTCAGTGTTCAGTGGCATGGTTAAAAAAAGGAATAAAATAATTTACTATTTTATGCATCCCGTCTCATTTGCCTGCTGTTTCCGCTCCCCAAGTTCGTTAGAGCATCAGTGTGTTTATTTATTCCAATATTCCCCCACAGACACTTCATTTACACCAGCCTGACGTGTGATATCAAATTTATGTTAAACCTGCTGGCATTAAAAAGAACCAGATAAGTATGGCAGGTTTTAAAACAAACCTCTTTCAGAAAGAGTGAATCCGTTTGACTTGCCTTGAAAGATTTTTTTTACGTTTTTCTGTGAACTTTGTCTCTTCATATTACTTAAAGGTAACATAAAGATACAATTATGTCTAATTTATTTACTTTCATCAATAAAAAAATACAAAAGACAACACTTCTTCCAAAATAAAACTTGAGCTAAAAAGTTGACATACGGACTTCTTTCCCAGGTCGTTTCTGGTCATGTTTCTTGAAATTACAAATTACAGATAATGCTCATCTGTAGGCTCTTTTTTTTTCTGGGCCCGATAGTTTTTTGGTCCTCTACCATCTCATATTTTCCTAAACACGTTACATAGACATATGCTACATAGAGTAGCTGGACTGACATGATTAAAAGATTGTTCATAAAAATGTCTGCAAAGCTCGGCCAGGTCTTCAGAAAAGACTGCTTTTTGAGATCACGGAGGTTTTTATGTGATATCTTACTGTAGTAACAGAAAATAATTATTCAAGGTTAAATTTAAAGTATCAAACAACTGAAATGTTGTAAGAACTCACATTTTTTTCTAATACATTTAAAAAAAGTTTTAATTGGATTTTAACAGAAAAGTTATTGACTTATCCCTTTGGTGCATGAATTATGAAATCTTCAACCATGATTTTTTAAACAATTTTTTTCATTCATCTTTAGGTGTGAATGAAACAAATTTCAACAAAGTGGACAGCGTGCATCCTGAACATGAAACCTGTTGGCTTGACATACTGAAGTCCAAATGGAGGGGCTCTTCAACAGCTGTGCTTAATAGCAAAAATAAATAAATAACAATTTTGAGTACCTGTCCACTGTAGTGACCATTATGCATCAAAGGGTTAATTATTCAATTCCTTTTGTAATTATTGTTTTAACTCTAGTTCAGTAGTTTTATGTTACTAAAACAAATTAAAATCATCTCAGAAAGAGTTTAGATATAAAGTTGGTGTAGATTTATTTACCAGAAGAAGAAAAACGTGACAGCAGTCAAATATTGTTATATGTTGGGGGTTTTTTTTTTTTTTGGCTTCAAATAATGGTTACGAAAGAATTTTCTCATACAGATACCTCAGTTTTAACCTTTAAAATCAAATTTAATCCATTTAAAATCATATTCCTCACAATATCAGAAGTAGGGAAAGATCAAACTATTAGCTGACCAATATATCGACCGGCCGATATATTGGTCAGCTGATATATCGGGCTGATATTTACATTTTTTATACAACGCATTGGCTTTATTTCCTTAGTAAAGCCAATTTAACTGTTTGTTGACGGTAAGATCTACTAAGAACGAGGAGTAACAGACTGGCTTTATTAGACAAACATCAGGTACAACTTTATTATTATTTACAGCACTCACTGGGTTTGAACATGTCAGGATTTATAGCTGCTAGATCCGTTTAGAAATGTTAACCTGTTCCCTCACCACCTCACACCCACAACACTTTTTCTTTTCTTTCTTCTTTTTTTCCTTTTCTTAACCTTTATAATTCCTTTCTTTCCCTTTTTTTAGCTGCTTGGATCTTTACGTCTGCATGGCACAATCAGCTTCTTTTTTTTCCCCTTTCCACACTGCAGCACACAACTTGCGTGCACACACACACACACACACACACACACACACACACACATAGACTCCATACGCACAGTCACACGGATAAGTAGCCTAAGGCGTTTCAAAACTCTGTTGGGCTTGTCTTGTTATTGTTATTATTATTATTATTGTTTTTATTTATTATTATTATTTATTTATACTTTATCATTATCAGCAATAATATCTTTATATTAATATTGTATAAAAAATTAATTAAATAAATTATTATTTTTTGCTACTATTTTTTTATTCATGTTGCAAATAATAATAATGATTATAATAATACCCTTATTATTTACTCTCTATTATTTACTATAAGATTAATGTATGCATTTAATTACTTATTTTATCTCATACACGTGAAGGCGTCATATTATAGCTACTCACACACACATCTATGGGTGCACTAAGGTTTGTTTCATGGAACGTGCATGGAGCTAGCTCCAGAGAGGTGCTGCTGGAGTATTTGATTTAAATATATATTTACATTTCTGACTAATATTTGCGTAATAAATGTTGTACAATTTTTTTTTCAACTCAAATTTAATTTCATTTGTATCTTTTGAAAATGAATACTTGGTCAGTTTAATGATTTGTTTCAATAACTTTAATTAGATTAACTTCAATTAGAAGTCTGATTTTAACAGTTGGTTAAATTCAGCGTTAAAAAATGAATTCAGCTTGAGAAATTTAGTGCATCAACTGATGTTATAAGTAGCACTTAAGCATGTAAATAAGGTGTAGAACGTCTAGATATTGGTCATGAAAATCAGCAGCACACACTGGCCATTGGCTGACCATGACTGCTACACATCGGTATCGGCAATAGAGAAACAGATATTGGTCGACCTCTAAAGAAGCATTTATCAGATTTTACATCCATTAGTCTCAGTCTATCAAGAAAAAGCTCTGAATTATCAGATATTTTTAATGTAACCCAAATTTTCGTGCATCTAATAATCCAACTCCTTCTGGACAGTTCGCTGATGTTTTGTTTATTAGCCCATCATCACTGCTGATCTCCCCTAATAGCTTCAGACTCTGGCGTCTTACAGGGTTTGTGTATCATCTGTATAATCTGGGCTGCTTGTAAACAGCTTGAGCTGTTCCGGGTTCAGCGATGGCGTCCTGCCAGAGCCACAGCTGGACTGGGTTTTGTGCCACATGCTAACAGGGTAAAATCCATCAGTTCTGCTGCAGCTCGCTGCACAACGCTGAAAGTGAGTCCCTACAATAACAATTCAATATTTACAGTGCGCTTGTTGGTGCTGGGTTTTCCCCTGACGCTGTTCAGCTTAACTGGTTATTATACAACATTCCCGCTCAGTTTCCTATTCATTGTTCTCATTTTTCCCATAAAGTGGCCTCCGAGTAGGCTGTGATTTTATTGTTACTTTATTGTGTTGTTTGTTTTCCAGCTATACGACTTCCAGCCAGTAGTGTTCAGGCACTTTTTAATAACCCCGTGCTCTCATTGTCTGGTTTTGCTTCACCACAGGGACAAATCTGGTTTAACTGATGCTGCAGGATGAGACTCCAATCGGTTCCATCCACTAGACAAATTAAACACTGAATGTACACTCATCAGCCACAAAATTAAAACCTCCTTCTCTCAACATGGTATGATATCTTTGTCCTTACAAGACCTATGGGGAGTCCTGCAGGGCAGTGGATCTATAAGATCCTTCTGAGATGAGGGGGAACTTTACAGATCTGCTCTGGATGATAGAACTGAGGATATTGGACTCTGCCTTGCTCCCAGATCGGTAAGGTGGGCAACCCTACGTGGACACTCTGAACTAGTGTACTCGCGTCCTTGTGAAACGTCGTCAACGACGGCTCAAGCACTGTTCCAATCCTATGTACATACCATGGCAAGTTCGTGAGTGTGTTTTTGCTCCACCTCTCATATCGAGGATGCATCAATGCATCTTTCTGCAGATTTGGGACAGCAAAGTATCCCACGATGCATGGCATCACAACTCGTTATACTCCAAACGGCCGAGGAGAAGGCTGATAACTGTAAGGTTTTATAACAGAAATACTAAAAGTAAAGTTATCAGTAATTGTAAATAAATGTGTTTAACCTGTAAAATTTGCTGTGTGTATTTGTTTTTTTTTTCAGACTCTTCATGATGCCTCAAAATGCTAATTACCTGACCCACTATCAAAATAAAAGCAGCGTTGCCTTAAATACCCCTGTTCTGGTCAAAAATAAGCTTTTTCTTCATTTAACTGCCGGAAATGCTGGAATTACACCAATTTCAATCAAAAGTGTACCAAATGTGTATTCATTGTTATTTTGTTATTTAAGGGACACACTTGACCTTTATTTTCATGTCAAGTCACTTTTTTATGACTCAGTGGAGTACTGTTCTGTTCCAAATGCCGTCGTCGTCCTCCCATACTCGGTAGAACATACTTTCTGCTGTACTTGCTAAGAACGTACTTGTCAAATACACAAGACTGTACTAACATCCTTTTTGACAAACAGCCAGTTTTAAAGTGGATTAACTGCAAACACCCACGTCTTGTGAATGTAACTTAGAGGGATATTCCACTCAAAGTGAAATTTGTCTGTTGTCATATTTCCCAGAGTTAGTTAAGTGGTTAACATCTATTTTAACCAACCCATTCATTATCCTGATCCAGCTGTACTCCTTTAGCTTTAGCTTAGCATAAAACACAGTTGGTGAATGGATCCAACTAGCTTTGTAAGCTAAATGTCCTAAAAATCACTCCGTAGTTATTCCAATTGTGCTTGGTGACATAAATAATCATACAGACTGCAAGTGAAAATAAGTAACATAATGCTAGTTGAATCCATCCACTAACAGTGTGTTATGCTAAGCTAAAGCTAAAGTAGTACAGCCGAGTCATGAGAATGAATGGGTTGGTTACAAATAATTTTTTCCCAGTTGTCCAACTCTGGGAAATTTCATTTTTGGGTGCAATATCCCGTTAAAGTTCTCTTTCACTTGTCTTTCCAATAAATCTGCTTGGGTCTTTAGTATGAATGAAAGCCTTGAGTCATTTTCTGTGGAAAAGAAACTCTGGCGCTCCTTTTCCAGGAAGTAGGAGTTTGTCAGAGGAGTGGAGGGTTGGAAATCAACTCATTAATATTCACTATATCTCGTTATCAGTGGCTAAGGGCAACGCAACTCTTCCACTGCCTTCATTCATTCTTTATTTTGGTAAAAAATGC